CTGGTCTTTGTGTTTAAATACTTGTAATTCTCCGCGTTTCGGCACAATCACCCACGTGACCGCGCATTGATTATTACTCGCGACTAAAAGGGGTCCTTGTTCTATTGAAATCGTAGGTAAACTACAAGCATTCAGTACTCATATTTTTGTACTGTGATCAGCCATGTATCGTGCAGTAAAAATAATCTGTGGTATGCTGCTTTAGCTCTTCTGAAGCAGGTCCCGTCTTTCCGTCTGCGGGTACGGCAATAAAGTCTCGAAAGTCGTCTACGTGTAAGTTTTCGCGCTAGCTGGCTTGCGGCACCAAAGCTGATGCAAAATAAAACGCGACGGATTCAGAGAGAGAGATGCATCGTCCGTAGTACTAATGCCTCCCCGCTCTGCAAACTCGTGGTTGGTGGCTGCACGCTGCTAGGGAACTCCTCCATACTCCCATCAGATCTAGCACCTTAACACACGTATCCGCCTAAACCGGCGCGAAGCCTGCTATCTGCAACGCAGGAAAAAAAGACGGCCACATGACAGAATAAAGAAGATTTGAGGTGAAGGATGAGACGCACAGCATGTGTCGTTGCGTCTGTGAAGGAAACGCGAAGTGTCTAGCTCAAGAGAGCGGAACAAACAATTTCTCTGATGCCTCTTGGAAATCTGGAATTCAGTGTTCACGCCGAATCGGTGTGGCTTTGCAGCCGGTGGCTTCATACGAACACTGGACACACCAAAGCTACGCGATGCCTTCACGAAAGACCATGTGGGTTTGAATATCGGCTGTTCAAATCCATGTACTCCGTGGAATTAGCGCACTCTGTATATCCGCCACAGTAGCTCGACGTTGGTTAGTCACTGGTTATAGTGGCGTCGCAACAGGTCACACCAATGCAATGAACACCGTAGTATTAACAGGCGTAAGGGAATACCTAGGTGGTTCGCTACACACTTGATATTCACAAGGCCACAACAATTCCAAAGGATTCTTTGCGACAGCACTACCAACTCATTTCTGGAAGGTTTCATTGACTTACGAAGCACTGCACTACCTGTGTTCCATGACTGTGTATGCAAAATGCCGCGTGTAGGGCAGTGTATGTGTTACACAGAGGCTTTTCAACGCGTCGCCGCTGGCCTGCCTAAGCAACTAAAAGATGCGGTAAAAGAACCGTATATTTTACCCCGTTGGTATAGCCTGGGAGGGATCAAAAGGCCTTACTGTGGCAGCGCCATTAAATGAAACATTAGTGATACGAAGGCTTCCTGATTCTGTGACCTGCGCCAAAGTGAGCACATTTTACTGGGATACCGAATCATAAATCTATTCCACTTTCATCACGCCTTGGAGAAGTAATTGCATTTGCCCGAAGTTCTACCTGGTTTGCACGATTGTAGTGCAAGAGACTCAGGCAACTAATTACAAGCCTCCAAACTAGTTGAACACAGTATAGCATGTAGCGTGCGCAAGCGCTATTATACTGTTGCAAAAGGCCTAAAAAAGCAAAAGCAGCATATTGAATCTTGTCAAGAACAGGGCACTCATATATTGGATGCAGCGCCTACCGGTGGCCCAGGAAGTTGCCAACACACTGCTCATCATAGATTGCACCAGCTCGCCTGTTAGCAGCAACTCAAGGACGAGTTTCCTTTTTGTATGAATGAAACATCTGTCGTTCCTCAAAATGCTTGTTGCAGTTTCTACATACATTTTGTACGGCTCTTTAACTGAGATGCATATCAGCTAAAAACCAAAATAGCAAGCAGCAAGGCCAAACGGCGCGAAAGAGCCTAGGACGGACATTCTATGCCACAAGATATGCTTCGGCCTGTAAAGTCTGTCCACCAGAAGTTGCAAGGCTCAGCATTGTTTGCATGCTTCTCTTGGGCGTGAGACAGAAAGGGAAAGACTGCATGCAACGAATGCGAGGAGGTGGCAGGCTTCAGCGCCTTTCAGGACAAATATTTCGTGCTTTGGATGGGAGGGCAAAGGTTGAATATGCGTGAGGGCAGTTTCGAAAAGGCTTTATATTTGGCAGACAACGGAAAAGCTCTGTGAGGTTCCCCAATAATTTACCACAAAATAGACCATTGCTATGTATAATAAAGCTTCCTCCCAGTAGCGAAAAGCGGGACAGCTGGTGCTGTCGTCAACCACACAATATTTGGAACTCTATGCCGCTAAGGCCAGAAGAGCCAGTGGCATTTGCATCTCCAACTGGCATATATACAGTAAGCACATGATACGCTATGGCCCAGTTCAAATATTGCCACGCTTGTCTCATGCAGCATAGAGAGTGACCCAGGATTCGTGAACTTTCGAACAAACCAGGCAGTAGGAACAATTCTAGAGCGACGCAGTAAATCCTTTTTCGTTTCCTTCTGACAGGACAGCGCTGCATCAGGACGGGCCTAATTTTCCGTTGATTTACTAACAAAAATTGCGAAATATTTCCTCGGCTCGTAGCCACATTTCATTAATCCGAAGACGTGAAGTCTTCCTTGTAGCGACGCAGGAGCCTACGTGCAACACAACTGAGTCTAACTAGTTAATGCGCATTGCAGGCTTCTTTTTGTGGGGGCCGAAAGCAAAAACTCAATTTTGGTTCCTCAACCACACACTGTAGAGCGCAAAGAAAAGCATTCCACAGTGCGGATTTTACCTGTAAGGTATTCGAACGTCTGTGGTTCGAATGCTGTATGGCCTGCCGTTATCCCTGTATGGTTTCTCATATCGTAACAAAGGAACATTCAAGCCCAATAACGTGAAAGGAGCCCATGCGAACGCTTAAAAAAGAAATGATTCCAGCCTGTGTTCGTTCCGGCGTCCCTTGGCCCTGCGTTGTCCACTCGGATCATTCTGTCTCAACACGGTGCCCTGGAGATACAACTAGGCTCTATCCCTGACGTTCCTGTCAGCTACCCTACGTTAGTTCCGACAGGGACGGTAGGTCTTTCTACACAAATCGTTTCTACTGGATTTTCGGGTGTGGCGTCACACTTGCAACGACCGGGGATATACTGGCATATACTCCGGACAGGACCACTTATAAGGTAATTCCTATTTACTGGAAACTCGATTGCTTCAAGCTGCGCCATAGCTTATTGGCTGGCTCGTGCAGCATGATCCAAGGGTGTCCGCGATGATTACCCAAAAAAGTTTCGAGTCGCCCATTGCGCGTGGGACGTAATATATGTGTTTGTCCTGCATAGTAAAGCTACAAGTAAGCCAATTTGTTCTTTGGGTGCTTTTACGCTATTGTGCTGACGTTCCTGAATGGAGGTGGGATGGCAAGGCACGGCGGTTCACTTGCGAGTGAACTGTGAACTAGCGGGCCGAGCATAGCTCTATCTGCATCACATGCTCTAGGCTTCGCAATGAAGAGGAAATCACTAGGATTTTTACGTCCCTTCGTTGTGCTGCGCTTGTAGCCTTAGTGCCACCTGTTGGGCCAGCATGCGACGGCCAGTATAGCTGGATGCTCCCTTTGGAGCCTCAAAAGTATCTGAAGAAGCGCAGGAAACGAGGAACAGGAAAGGCCTCAGGTGCAGCGCGCCCTCGAAACCATGAAATTAGACAACTCTGAAAACAGTAAAGGTATTTACGCCGATGGTATTACACTGACCTGCCTGCAGATAAGACTGTTCTGACGTGTGCTGCACGGTGGAGGAAAAAAGCTGAAAGGAAAGTTACGCGGAAAGTTACGCATCCATACAAATTTCTGTGATTCCCCACTGTAATGACATGGCTGGGCCCATGTCGTACTTAGAAGCGCAGGTTTACTCATTAGCCTCAGCGAACTTCTTAGAGTGTCATCCATAGCTGAACCTTGGTCGTGATATCCAGTGAAATTTACTGCTGCACCGAGAACTATTCGGCCAACACGGTTACCTGCATGGCAGCTGCCATTCCTCTTAAGGAAACGCTGCGATCTTTGTGTCGATACGTGTCAGGTGTCCGAAGGAGAAGATGGAGAGAGGGAATCTCTGTGCTTTTGGCAAGCAGCTGCTGATAATGCTGCTGTTGCTGCAATATCAATGACTCGGAAATATCTCTTGCTGTCTTACTTCCCCTGAAGGCGAACGCACTTCGCCGTCGTCCAGGTGCTGCGTCTCGCTGAGATGCTGCAACTTGCTTTGTAGTATTTATCTCCCCCAGTGTACGCCGTGTGTTCCCAGACTGTTTTTCAACTACGCTACGTGCAGTGTAAGCTCTCTTAGGTTGAGAAGATGCAGCATTTGTTGCCAACTTAGAGGAAAACGCATCCTGGCCCATCAGGAGTGTATGTTGTTCTTGGATGCCGGGAACAGTTCGAACATGTCTCGTGGAAAACGTGACGTCAATTTTGCCAATCTTGTGGGTTTTCGCGCGTTGAAACAAAGCCTGAGTGAAGCAGTTGACTGGCAAAGCAAACGTAAGCAGCTACTGGACCTGGCTTTACTCTCTCCTGCATTCGCTTTTGTCTATGTCTGTGAGAGTAACTGTTGGTAGAAATAGCAGGCGCTCCCTTGAGAGGATCACAGTGCCTGGTGCTAAATTTTATTGTAAATCATTGGGACGAATTTGCCGTGATTCGTAAGGGCGGGCCTGCCTGCTGAAGTTCCGCTGTCGCGGACAATTAAGTCCCTACCTGCACGTCGCTCAGATGCTGACAGCAAATTTTATTGTTAATGTTCACGGCGTCTCTGCTGATATTTCGGAAGAAGTACTCGAGTACTGAACGCAAATGGCTACAGAAAAGGTCATGCGCCCGCTGGCGACACACCGGTGACGGGGAACGCTTGTTGCTTCTAACGCGTGGTTCACAGGCTTAGGGAATAATGCTCTTACAAAACTACTTAAAGTGGATACACTGGCATTGCTCTTTTATAAGGCAAGGCCAGGAAGCTCATCTAAGGCTCAGAAATCTTCGGCTTGCCTGCTCTACCTGTGGCGGCTTGGCAACAACGCCTTCTCTCTGTTCGTGTTGCCTATGTTACGGTCAGTACAGTGCTGCAGAAAAATTGTGCCTACTTTACAGTAATTCAGTAGCCGTAGAGGCCGCTTTATACCAAGTAGCGACACCGCAGGTCTCACCAGCATCTGACACTATGGGGTGCCCGTGTGCTAGAGCTGAAGAAGCGCATGCCGCAGCCTCCCTTGCAGCAGCTGCTTCCGTCAGTTCATCGGCCTCATTGCTTCCAATAGCTTCACCGGGTGCCGAAACATCTCCTGCTCTCCTACAGTTAGACAAGAGCTTTCCCGTTATAGTTGGTGCGGGTTCCTGCACTGGTACCTTGAAAAAGCGAATTAGCAACACAGGCGGCTGGTTTGCCAAGGTTATATTGTTCTTCAGGGCTGCACTTTTGTTTATGACTATTGCTAAAACTTTTAGTTGTTGACGTTCGAAGGATCGGTGCACTGTGTGAGACTTTCAGTTGTCGCGTAAGTGTAATTCGGTACATAGTACTCAAAGGGCACAGCAATATATAGTAACACTCCGGGCATCCACGGACAGGCGGTTCTGACAGATCCGGCGAAATGTCAGGAAGGCCATCGGGTCTTGCTGTAGTTGCAGGAGGACGAAGTGTTGGGATATTTTGCTTTTCCTCTTCGGTGTTGGTATACTGCGGGTCTCCGGCCAGCAAAATTTGATGTCGCTGCATGCGCCGTTGCTTTTGCTGTTGCATTAAGCGGAATGTCCTGTGATTTAACACCGCGGTATGCGGCTGAAAACACATGAGGTTCCTTGTAAAGCGATCGAAGTGACCTATGAATGCATGAATCACCCAGACGGAACAGAAGTCCACTAGGTAAACTGTAACGTCTCTTCCTGCATATGTTAGGTCTCCTTGTGGCTGCTAGTGAATTGTAAGCAGAATAGCTTACTTTCTAGAGACAATGACGACGCTGCGATATACTCCGTCATCTTGTGTGACAAAAAGGGAGAGAATGTCAACGGCAAAAGTGAGTGTCCTGACCCGATACTGGTGTCTTCTTCCCCAGAGCTGTTGTCTGCAGATGCAAAGTCACCTCTGTTTTGAATGGCCTGAAAAAACAGTTTAGATTTCACTGGGTTTCTTAGTTGGATCCGTCAAATGCATCAGACTGACGAGTATACACCGTGCAAGTTTTGCTCACATCGCGCTGGTGGAGTAGCTCTAGACGTCGAATACGGTCTTCTTGCTTTCCAATGCGTGCCTCCAGGTGTTGCAGCAGCAGCAGTCCAGTGACGCGTACTGCATCTATGACGCCTGCATCATATAAACGGCATTCGCGTGCTTGCAACGGGTCAGCAGCTTAGCAGTGTCAGTGAACCCTTATAGCAGTAGCAGTAGGAAGAGGAGAGCAATAGTTTCACCCCAGGATTTCACTAAAGTGCCAATGTTGCACTTATTTCGCCCACATTAAGCATGCCGGCCAGGCGATGACACCACTGACTTGACTGAATTACGGAACAATTTATCTTCACAACAAACTTTTTGCGTTTTCGATGCAAACCCCACAAAATTCGCCTATTTTTATAGAGGCATAATTTACGGAGGGGAAAATAGTGGTTTTGGCAGCTCATGTGAAGTGGTTGCGGACTAGACGGCATGTGCTTGAAGAGTTCGGATTTGGTAATCGAAAAAACTTGCGTCTTGTTCGAATTAGCGAAAACGGAAAAAGGCTCCGGGGAGTCGAAAAACAACGAGCAAAAGTTTATAATGCAGCCCTCTTGCAGTAGAGCCAGATCTAGCTCTTCCAGCAATACAGACTGCTGGACTGCTTTCCCTCCACTATGCTCGCAATCTTGCTCAAGCATCGGCTCTGTATCCGTAAAGAAATTCTTCGTTGCATCTGAAGCGGCAGCAAAGGGGTTGCTGCAACTTTCTGCAGTTCCTAGACGACCAGAATCGCCTGCCTGAATGGATGACGAGCCGTAAACACTAGAACTTACATCTTCTATTTTCACCCGTGAGTAGAGGTCCAAATAACTAAACACCAAGCCATGACCAAGGGCAGATATGTATATTTCGGTTGCGTTCCTGCTTTCCTAGTGTACTTTCGGTGCATTTTCAGTAGGCTACAACGCTGCAATTTGGCCAGTGGGGTTACTGGTGTTCCCTAATGTGCAATTCGCTGTGTCCTCCATGGCTTCGCGTAACATGTTGCTGGCCAATAAACAACAGGACGTGACGTGAAAAAGGCATTTTTCCTCACAGTTTTCTCCCGCTGCTGTCGCAAAGCTCGAGACACAACCTGACCTTCGATCATCACAAAACACGCAACTTCAGCCCGCGATGAGTAACTTCGGTGCAACTGAGCTGCATATCAACTGTTTGACGATGCTCTCGGTGCTGCGTCGTAGAACTTCTTCGACGACGCAGAGGACAGGCAAAACTGGCTTTTGTTAAGCACAATAATGTTGCGCCGGCGCGAAGATTCTTGCTGGTGGCTTCACTGAGAAACCGTGTTATACTGACTGATAGCATCAACTCCTAACTTTCCCTCGTGTGTTCCAGCACACAGCGAATGGAAATCGCCGACGTATCTTCTGCACCATCAGAGAAGAGCAAGCATGAATGCGTTTTCGCATAGCCACCACCAAGGAAAAAAGCATTGCCGGTTCGCAATATGGAAGCAGGCAATATTCCTCAGGCACGAAACTGCTCGGTTGTCACAATTGCTAAACCTCTGCGGCAAACTGCACTTCACAGTGCTCATATGAATACTAAGCTCTCCTCCCGTCTGTTTGAACAGTCTGTCAATATTGCCGCTGGCTTTAGTGGTGATTGCCTACCGCCTTCGTGTCCGGAGTACACACTCGCCTGCACCATGATACGGCCAATAGGACAGTCCACCTGAAGCTAGCTGGCCATGCAGTCGGTAGCGTGCTTTCTAAAGAAACGTTTTATTTTCCTGGTCACCGCTTTAAGGAATCTGTCGTTCGGTGTTCGAAAGAAAGAGGCTTTTTATGATAAAAGTAAAGAAACGACGCACCCTTCACAATAAGATACAAAGTGTCCTCCTTGTTGCCCTCTGTGCTCAGAGGCATGTCTTTCTGTAACGTTGCTTCTTTAAAAAAGTATGTGAGTTGCTCCACAACAAGCTTGCGCAAATCTCTGGCGCCTGGCAGAACCTGTCTGAGTGTCTGTACCTGTGTAGACAAATTTCAGAATGGCTTTTTATGCTGAAGATATACGTTGTTATTATGGATCATGTCAAGGAAATGTGTAGGGGAGTCATCATCAGTCTGGCAGGCCCTCCATTATTCAAATAATGCAACTCCGTTCTACTGGTTTTGAGCCGCAAGAATCTGCGACGTTGACTCGCTTCACAGCAAGGTCAATTTTGTTCAAACGTCCAGTGGCAAATCAGAGAAGTTTTGAAGTAGGAAATTTCATAGAGAAAAAAACATAGCTCGACAATCCAGTGCGCTAATGCAAGGCATACAGTGTGGCACGTGATCTTGTCAGTACAGCAGAGTCGCCTTCTCACCTTGTCGTCTGTCTTCTGCCGAAGAAAATTGCCAAGACAGTGTTGAAATGACTTTTTATCTAGTGTTAGGAAAAGACAGTCGCTGTGTGCTATTAGCGCCGCTGACCGAACGTCATTGCGGATCAGACCTGCACACGTTATACCATCGACAAACGCCTCCACAAAGCACAAGCTAAATATGCTGAGGCCTCGAAAGAAATCCAAGATTCAGTGAATACCATGTAGTCAGTTGGGTCCTCTACAGTGTTCACAATTCGCAGTGGTTCATTTTGCTCAATGTCCAACACAAGTTTATTTGAAAAGCAGTTCCCTTGGTTCGTTTTGTACTCGGTAAGTTTAGTATAGTATAGGTATCACTTTGTATTGATAAGTAGGGAGTGACATGGCAGACTTGGTGCAGCTTTTTGTTTACTTGCCTAGCTCGCCAAAGGAATGGCCTTCCCCGAGATCTGCTACACAACTGTTCATATCAACACGTCTCTCCTTTGATGGTTCTGTTACTGCTGAAAGCACATGCAAACGTCAATGTCTCTCGTTTCAAAAACTCCGTATACTGACGCTTTTTCTTTTTGCACCTGCAGCAAAACTGTTTTCGTGTGCACGCTGACTGCCATCGACAGAAGCGAAATTTTAGCTGGATTTTTCTCTAGTCATGAGCACAACTGAGCACAAGTGAGCCATTTCACTTCATGTGTTTACTTCATGGTTACAGGTAAACTGTGCGTATTTCACCTTTACAGGTAAACTATGTCAGGTATTCATAACCGACACCCACAGGAAACTCTAGAAACCGTCTTCTACACGCTTCTGGCTCTCGAGTGATGCAACACCGCAAAAGCATTTACCACGGCCCAGGTTTGCAGAGCTGTCGCCTTGCTCGCCGCCGTCTCCTTCTGGAAGATCCTTGAGCTCTTCAATATACACCCCCGCGTTGCCAGCGAGGATCAGGTACCAGTTGTCCGCTGAAACCAGGCTCATACACAGTGGTGTACTGCGCATCACCCTCCATCTAGCAGCCCATAAAAGAGGTTTTAAGAGGACGTGCAGCTCGAATACTTTCGATCGGTTGCACTGAAATGTTGCTGTATCTCTTCTCGGCAGCAGCAAAATTCTATAGGCCTAATGGCTAAGCACAAAGTGGCGAAGGCGCTGGCAGGTGGCCGTGGCGAAATCACCTGGATCGCCTTTGTAAAACACGACTCTGTCTTTTTTCTTGGTCGTGTATGTCATATGGCGACAAAGCTCCAGCGACATTTCAGCGTCTAGCTCTGCAAAAAACTTGTTGTCTTTTACCAGCGAAAAAATACACTCCACCTGTATATGAAGGAGCCGTTCAACGAAAACAACGTTGGTAATCAACGCTGCGAAAAGCATGCTTTTTATCGCATCCGTGACTACAAAGAAGAGAGTTTAGTGGCTACAGAAGTTGCTCGAGGACAAAGATTCAAACAGTCACTACTCTAACAAACAGCGCAAGCAGCGGGCCGTTAGTCGGGGTCTACGCTAGTTCTTGGAGCTGAGCCAAGACAGTTTCTGGAGCCAAAATGTGTAGGGAATTCGTGCACGCTCTGCTCTCAAATCACGGGTTACACACTTCCTTAAGCCTGAAAGCATATGACCGTGGTTTCTGTGGTGCCAGTAGAATGGGATTGAGGGAATCAAGCAGTGGTTGCGCGTTTATGGTTTGCCTGTCATTGAAAGTTCCTGTGCTTGGGCGGTTACGGCTTGTGCATTATCCCTACATTTTCTCGGCTTCTTTCAGCTGGCGGCAGCTGAAGAAGCTCCAAAGTTGTTGCAAACTTCTCATCGGTGGCAAATTGCTCAAGAGGCACTTGGTCTTCGGACTCCTTTGTCTCTTCTTCTTCAAACAGATCTGAGCCGGTGTCCGATGAGACATCAGAAACTTCCTTCTCTTGTTGGGGAGGCATTGCTGGCTAAGGCGTACGCATATCACAGTAAAACAAGCAAACTATGGCATGAATGATTTAAAAAATCGGGATCAGGCTGCGAGCACTGCTCAAAGTTGAGGCTTCCTTGTGCCTTACCGTGGTCGTGCGTGCTGACTATACTCGAGGACGACGTGAATGGCTTACAGAGCTAATAAATCAAAAAGGATGTATGGAAGTGCAAAGACTAATAGTTCGGCTACTACTAGGGTGCTCTCAAAGGCGCCATGTGATATGATGCAACAGCACTTGCAGCGGTGCTGTCGGCCAGACACGTGAATTTGATGCCACAGAAAAATATCTGCAGGTGAAACATTAGTTGAAAAAGAAGCAAAGCTAGTAAAGGGGAGCCTGTGAGGGCAATTCGGCATGCAGAGACTTGACAGGGTGACCTCATGGCCGCTGCACGAGCGCTCAGGGTGCGCCCTAGTAAGCGTTTAAGGAAATGCCGCTTCCTGCGGAGCCTTTGACTAAAATGTTTTTTGATTGTACGTATTTTGCATATATGCGTTTCAAACCCTTTCAAAACCTAAGTTAAAGCCCCAGCCACTAACCGCCTGATGGCCCGCGCCGGTGGGGCCCGAATTTCCACTGCAGCGAGGATGGCAAACCTCACTAACAATCGTTTCGACCCAGAGTTATCACTAGTGATTTGGTATTTACAATTCAGGTATTCTTTAGAATGTAGCAGAGCCAATGTTATGAAGTTCGGTTCGCTGCGGCTATGACGAAAGTCAGCGGGACTGGGGCTTCGGAATCATAAGCAAGCATTGGGTGGTGGCACAAGCCACGACCGGTGGACAAGGCAGTGCCGTTCACTAGACTTAGGCTTTTTCTCATTTCTGGTGTAGCGTTTTCTTAGGCTCTCGTTGCAGTGCGAATAAAGGGCTTTTTTACCCGTCAGTCAGTCCGTCTTTTGCTCAGTTGTGCACAGGCTAACCACTGGCGTTTTTTCTGGAACGTAACCAGTGGTCCTGTCTGCTTGTACCATTTCCTGCCGACGCTTCGTGAGAAAAGGTTCTATGTTTCCCCCGAAAAGGAATATTCTTTTTTATGCCGAGAAAATACGGTGCCTGGAAGGCTCACAAGTACACACCTGTCACGTGGCCGACGAATGGGCGGACCGAGTAGGTAGCTGCACACTTGCCGAATTAAAAATGCAGGTTATAGAGGAGTTACAAAAACCAGGAAACGATATAAGTTATACATAGACAAGATGCATCCCTCGATATATTGGTGTGTTCTTGCAAGTTCATATCAAACCCCAGACTCCAGAAGGTGCGCGTGAGATTTTGCCACACGTTTCTAACTTTTCAAATCTACGTTTGTTCGTGTTCGTGTATATATATCTACTTAGTCAACACATGCGGCACTGTGTGCACTCGGGAGCAGATATACATTCAACTGAATAGTAGTCTTCACAGAAGACTAATATTCAGTCTTCACAAAAGACTAATATTCAGTTGAATGAATATCTGCTCCCGAGTGCGGATGGGCAAGTTCTGGGGACAAGCGGGCAGATATTACATGTGCACGAGTGAATGAGTAGAAACACTCATCTTTATGGAGACAAAATACATATTCTCTGAGATACATTGACGTGTATGCCTCTATATGCCTATGCATGTGGATGCACCGACGCGTTCATCCATAGGAATTGAGACGTAGCTATCCAAATGCAAGTAAAATTGTCGTAGGAGAAGATGTGGAGTTTTTAGGAGCAACGAGCGCATTTAAAACTAGTAAAGTTTGAAGCGAACGTGGACACGATTTTCCATACACGCATAAACGTTAGCGCACAGGAGAAGGGCTGTTGCGTAGCGTAGAATGAGATACATTCACTTGAGTCTCTTTTTGATACACAGAGAAAGCAAGGGGCTGTTTCATGCATCTGGGGACGAGCACAGTGTTAGATATGCAGTGAAGTGTGTATTTATGCACTTGGGTACGAATAATTAGGCACGGCAACTGGCACCCTGGCTCGTGATGCATGCACACTAGCACAACTACATTCTGGCAAAAAATGACAAAATGCAGTGAAAAGGAGGAGTGAGCCTTAGAGACACTGGCGCCTCAAGTTCCTAATTCATGCGCTTTCCAGCGTCCGGCGAAACTGCCTCCTAATCCCGAGCCTTTCACACACTACTTGCTTGTTGAGTTGCCTTTATCACAGGGTTTCGCGCTGCCAGCCCCACATTGTTCCCAATCATATGCCGCTATGTCATGAAATACTGTACACGCGTGCATGCGCGAGTCTGCTAACTGAGCGAAATAGACTATGCACATATGGGCAACCAGGTGGAAGCGTAAAGCTACGTGGGTAAAAAGAGAACGAGAGAAAGGCTGACAGGAGCGCAAGAGCACTGCACTGGCTCGAGACAGCACGGGATGCCTGCTAATGCAGCTGCTGCGAGCACTGCAGTTGCTGCCCCTAATGCAGACGCAGCAGTTGGCGCAGGTATTGGGAGTTCTGACTTAAACTTCTCGTGCGCAGCATCGACCAACAGGGCTTAACGCTCAGGATAAGAAATACTTCAGTTGGGGCGGCAGCATGAGCATATACGTGTGTACATGCTCATAAATGTATATTCAGAGAGATGTGGGGAAATGGACTGATAGAGAGATACAGACAAGCCGGAGAAATGGCAGTGCAACTGGTTGGAAAAATACAGGCTGCTGTTTCTCCTGTGTCCATTCTATTCCTTTAATATGTGTCACTGGTTTTGCTCACTGCGTTACAGCCTCATTGCTGGTGCTCATTGCTGCTGGTGCTCTTGATGCTCTGTCTCCTGGGTCTCGTTCTCGCTGCTCTTCTGACTCGGTAGCACGTCAGAAGAAAGCCCACTCTCTACTTCAGCTTCTTCTTGCAGCATCTCTTGGTCTTGCCTCAGCTGTTGCTGACTTATTTCTTCCTGCTGCTGTTGCACTAGCTGCTCCAGCTGCTGCTGCTGTTGCCGCTGCTCCTGTTGCTGCTTGTCCTGCTGCTCCTGTTGCCGCCGTGCCTTTGCCAGCCTTTGAAACGCATAGTTAAATGCAGCTTGCTTCACGGGTGGACAGGCCAGGAGACAAGCATCAATGAAGCGCCAGAACTCAGGGAAGGTGATATTGTTGCTGTCAGCCACCTCTAGAAGCACCCCACTGCATGCTCCTATAATCCCATTGCTGCTAGCGCTATTATTGTTGTTAGCGCTGTTGGTGTGGGAAGGGTCGTGTAGCGGCAGCAGCAACATCCGGCTTGAGTGGCTGCTGCCCCTGGAGCTGCTGGGAAGGCTCCATGGGTCCGTTTCAGTCTCATCGTCTGCTCCAGCAACAGCAGCAAACAATCCGTGCTGCTCATCCAGACCCCAAAGAGTGTCTAAGGCTTGCAACGCGAAGTGTAGATCTTCCACTGTTAGCGGACATTGGTCCTGCTGCTGCTGATCTGGATGCTGCTGTTGTTGCTGCTGCTCTTGCTGCCGGTGCAGTTTTTTGAGTTGCTGTCGCTGGGAATACTCGCCTTCGCCCTCGTGCCCGTTCTTCTCCAGGCCTTGTGGGTCGTGCTCCTGTTGCTCCTGCTGCCGCTGTTGCTGCAGGTAGTTTTCTACGTAGATTTGCATTTGAGGCTTCACGGCCTCCAGTGCCCTCCAGTTTCTCTCTTCTCTCACCTGCCGCGCCACGGCAGCAAGTAGAGGCAACTCAGAGTGACACAGATGCTCGCCACGAACAACGCGCGCTGCTGCTTCTGGTGCAGCTGCTTTTCCATTTTTTGGTGCATCCCTTCGTACTGTTATCGTTGCTGTTGCTGCTGCAGCTGTGCTGCTGCTGCTGCTACTACTGGTGGCAGCTTCATATTTGTCTGCTGCTTTTGAGTGTCGCAGCAAATACTGGGCGAGCCAAACAAGAGGGTCAAATCGCGCCTTGAGCCCCTTACCTAAGAGTAGCCGGGGAGTGGGGACCCTTTCTTCTACAGAATTTGTGTCTGGCTGCTGGGGCTGCTCATCGCGGTCATGCTGCGCCTGATGGTGCTGCCGCTCCCCTTTCCCTTCACCCTCCTGTTGCTGAATATCTAGTTCCGCCGCGACCTGCGGCTGCTGTTCCTGGCCTTCGTCGTCTTGCTGCTGTTCCTGGAGAAGCCGCCGTCGCTGCTGCTGCTGCTGCTGCTGTTGCAGATGCTGCTGGTGTTGTTCATACTGGTTTGTGTCTGCTTGCAGTTTCTCCACGAAGTTGCAGAGAGCAGCCAAGGCGCTATCTAGCAGAGGCAGAAGGCGCTCACAAAGATACAACTCAAGGGCTTCGTAGCCCTCGTGGCTTGCAGTGGCGGTCGTTGCAGCAGCTAGCGAGCCCCAAGATGGCCAGCTTGCTGCTGCTGCTGCTGCTGCGGGCCCTCGCGGTGGAGAGGATGCTGGTGCTAGTGGACAATCAGAAGCAGCAACGTCGGGCGGGAGTTTGGGAACAGCTACAGACTGCAGCAAGACCGATACGGGTACTGAGGGATCGAGAGCGTCCGCGAGACCCGCAGCCCCAGCAGCTGCAATATCAGCAGCGCTGTCTCCAGCAGCTTTCTCTGAAGCACCCCAGATGTGCCCGAAGGCTGCCCCACTGGTAGGGTCCCCCCCAACGCTGCTACTCTCCGGGTAGTACGCACTCCTGCTAGTCCTGACTTGGTAGAGCAAATACCGCACAAGGGCCAGCCGACTGTTCAACTGTGACGAGGGTCCCCCAGGAAGACCCTCAGATAATCCTGCAGGAGATCCGTCATTATGGTCCTCCAGGGATCCCCTCGAAAGGCTGCCCGGTGTCGGGGGTCCTTTACGTGCCATCTATTAATCCGCAAGCAAAGTTTTTGGGCGGAAGTAAATGCTCCAAGCACCAACGAACCCTGAAAGTCAGTGCAGCGATAACTGGATGTAGGCGGCATAAAGGCCAGAATGTTTGAAGCAAGATATATCCTCGTAGTGTGCTGGTGATGCGTTAAAAGCCTTATATTGTGTTCGGCTTGATGGCGGCTAAGAGCGATCAGTAGCCTCACATGATAGTGTGAGCAGACTGAGACCCCATCGCCAAGCACGCTGAAATGAGGGCAACATCAAAGCAAAAAGCATAACAATCTTGAAAGTAGTGGGGGTGGGAGTAGTGCCGCAAATAGCAGGAAAAGCCATACCAGGAGGGATGACCAAGCCAGCTATTACACCAGAGGGCACCTTGGCTTGGTGAGTGTCTACTAAACTCATACGCAACAACATGACGCCTCTATCTTTATTTGTAGGATTACTAACATCTATTTTCTTACTAGTTCAACAAATTTTCTATTGCGCGGAGAGCGAAAAAACCACTAAACCAAAGACTTAAATTACTGGGGCTGCTGCTGCCGATGCTCACGCACCGATCCCTTTCTGTTGCTGTTGCTATGGCTTCCTGATGCAGCTGCAGCGGGGAAGTCCAAGTTGATAGTTGAACTAAGCAGTAATGTATTTTGTTTTTAATATTTCTGCAGAGCAAATCGTTTGAAGGGACGAGTAAGCGGCGCATAGACACAAAACACACACTCGCTAGACCCGAGCACGCTGGTCGCGGAAGCCATCAAGGTCACCTCCGGTACTGGAGCAGAAGAATCAGCGAAACCAGGAGTAAATGCAGGAGAAGTTGCAGAAAACCTTTTAGCATCTCTTCGAGTTTGGATCAGCTACTTTATCCATTGGGATGCGCAGCCACAGGCGCTTCAGAAATGCTCCAGGCCCCAAACCGCAGATTCTAAACAGCAAGCACTAATCTGTGATCTATATATTCTGAATTTTCGGGGGATGCATTTGTATCATGCCCACTCTACGGGTGGAATAGTCTCCATGACGGATGCTAGGCCCGTAGACGAAACGGTTGGGCTACAGCAGCGGCAGCAAGCACTGGAGCATCTGCAGCAGCAGCGAACAGCTCCTCAGCAGCAGTAGAAGCAGCACAGGCTCCAGCAGCATCAGTAACAGAGTAGTTTAAAATCTCCGCTGCAGATCACTCCTGTTTCAGCAAAAACAGCGACGAACTTTACATTTGCCGCGGCAGCGTTGCTGCTGCAACATTGCTGCGTAGCCGAAGCAGGACCAACAGCAGCGAATAAAATGCACTTTGGTGTGGGCGGCGATGATACACTTTTGGAGGCCTCATGGAAAATCCAAGCAGGTCCTCTCAAACCCCAAGCACTAAACTCTAGATCGCACTTCCTAAACCTTTAATCCTAAGCCCTAAATCCTGAGCAGCAAACTCAGCTCACACTGAATCGGAGGAAGCCCTTTTGGTGTATTAATTTGTAAGTATATAAAGTGGTCGCCCAAGCAGGGCAGCAACCAGGGAAATGCAACAACAGTACCAGCAAGAGCAATAAAAGCAGGAGGGACGGAAGCAGCAGCAACAGGAACAGCAGCAGGAACGGCAATGCCAGAACCAAAAGCAGAAACAATAAGAAATCTGAGTTGCCACTGCAAGCGTTGCTTACTCTGCTGCTGGTGCTGGTGCCATTGGCAACACCAGGAGCTGCAGTACCAGCAGCATCAGGGCTTCAAGAAAGAACTGCAGAACCCACTGAGCCTTTAGCTAGCAGTAGCAACTTGAAAAACAGGATTACGACTAAGAAGATTAAAAGACTCGTTTTGCATCTCGCCTCTGCAGATCATCACAATCATCAGCAGCAGCCGCGGCAGCCTCAGCAGCAGCAGCTTCAGCAGCCCCATCTATGCCAGCAGCAGCAGTATCAGCTCCTGCAGCCTCAGAATCGGGGGCATTGTTGCACGCATGTGACTGTACTCTCTTACGACATTCTTAACCGCCATTGCCACCACTAACCCGGCAGTAGCAGCATAAGCACTTCTGTGGTTTTGAATCTGTGCTTATCTGCGTGGCTGACAGGAGCAATCCGGCAGCTTCAGCGGGTCTCCGGTGCAGCGAGCCGCCGCAACTTGATGCAGTTTTCTCTAAGCCGCAGCAGCAGCAGCAACAGCAACGGAAGCATCGGCAAACACGGCCACCTGCAGCAGCAGCACACTGCTGCTACAATCCCACAGAGAGGGAACAACTCACATGCCTACATGTACGCAGAGTCTGCTCGAAGTAAACTGCAATTCGTGCTAGCTTTGTGCTGCTCACCTTTATGCATTGAAAAACGGTTATAGCGGCAGCAGAACTACCAAAAGGAAGCAGTCTCAGCAAACAAACACAACAGAATGAAGAGGAAGAAACTGCAGAAAAGTAAACACACAAACATATGCAGGAAGAAGCCGGCTAAAAAGCTAATGAGTGCGTGAAGACCTGAGCGCTGCTGCTCTGTTTTGCGCTCCAGGATACCTTCAAGGCGCAGTCAGAGCCTAACGTGGAGTGAGACAAACACAGTTGCTGCCAAGGTTGTTGCTCCTACTGCTGCTACTACTGCTGTTCCTGGAACTGTTTATTTTGTTGCTATTGCTGCTGCTTCTGCTGCGGCGGCCAGTGCTCGTGCTGCTGTTACAATGCCAGTGTCTCCGCAGCTGCTGCTGCGATATTGCATAGTGCTTCTGTTGCTGCTGCTTCATCCGCAGGTGGAAGCGTTAGCACCGATGAACCAACAGTGCTCTCGGCTACGCGCTCCTACGGGTTGGATTACTTAACTGTCTTTCCTTGTGTTGCCGTTGCTTTTCTTTTTGCTTGCTTCTTTGCCAGCTTTTTTGCTGCTTCATTTGACTCCTTTGCTTCCTAGCCTGCTTTGTCGTCTGGCTTGGCTCTGCCTTTCGTGTGAGGGCGTATGCCGCCGTGGCCGACGGTGCTCATGCAATGGCAGTAATTGTGGTGGTGCGGTTTCTTTCACTGCAGTGGCCTTCGAAGCAGCACAAGAGGAAAGTGCAGTAGCAGCAGCCGGTGCAGCAACAGCATGCAGTAAGCAGCTCCACTGCTCTATATGCGCTTCAGGCGTAGGGTTGGCTCTCAGCCTGGAGTGGCCTCTTTTCCTTTGGACCTCCACAATAGGGGGGCCCTAAGAGAGGACAGGGGCTCCCTTGCTGAGGCTAGCGCACCCCTTAGCTCAACTACAGTAGAAGCCACAAGTGAATCCTCGACCTTTTCTGAGACAGTGCAGAAGCTTCTGGGCAATCTGCAGAGCCTCACAGAGCCTCTCACTCTGCACCAGCAACAACAGCGGCAAAGGCTAGGGCTAGGGGCAGCAACTGTGGGGACCCCAGAGAGCAGTCGGTACACTTTATCAGCTGACAGCAGCAGAAGCCAAGTGAAAAGCAGACATGCAAAGCATGCAAACAGCAACAACAGAGATGCAGGCGCAGCAGAAGTTAATAATGCACAGGAGCAGCAGCTGCAGCTGCTGCTCCAGCTGCTGCCATCCGAGGAGCAACAGCTGCTGCATGATGTGATGTCAGCAGGGCAGCAACAGCGAGACTACTTACTGATGCTGCTGCGACAGGCCATGGAAACTGAGCGGCGGACAGCGGCAGGAGCAGCAGCCCGGAAGGAATTTGCTGTCGCCGCCGCTGCAGTTGATCAGCTGCTGCAAACAGGGCAGGCCCCGCCTCCTCCAGCAGCAGGGGCAGCAGCAGCAGCAGATGTGGCGAAAGCAAAAGACATGGCTTCTCCTGAGATGCAGCCACCGGTAGCCGCGGCGACTTTGCCAGCAAAGGAAGCAGCCGCACGCGGCGCTGCTGCGTCTGCTGATGCTACACTGAGCAAGGACGGGCCCCAGCTCTTGGTGGGACGCGACCCTTCAGGCGCATTGGCTGCTCTCAGGAGCAGCCCCACGGGGCAGCAGAACAGCAGCAGCACCAACGCTAACAGCCCTAGAGAGAGGAGCTGGAGGACACAGCAGCGGGTCGAGCAGCAGCGAGTGCATAAAGCAGCAGACACACTCCGAGCCCAAACGCTTCAGCAGCAGCTCGTGCTGCAGGAAGAGCTGTTGCTGCGTAAACAACTAGAAACACGGCTGCATGCGCTTCTTGCGCACCTGCCTTCTAACAGCCAGCAGCAACTGCAGCAGCAGCAGCAGCAGAAGCTGCCGCAGCAGCAGCTGCAGCAGCGGCAGCAGCATCAGCAGCACGACCAGCACCGTCACCAGCTGCAGCAGCAGCACCAGTATAGCCAAGAGCAACCCCCCCTGCCACCCACTTCGGGGGCCCCTCATTTCCCTCGTCTGGCCTCTGCAATCGCTCAACAGCGCATGCACATGCCCAGCAGCAGCAACAGCCGGTCACCGACATGGCAGCAGCAGCAACAGGCAGAAGACAGCGTAGTGCTTGAGGCCTTGAGAGAGGCCGAGGAGTTGCTTCTGAGAGAGAAGCAGCAAACGGCTGCTGTAAGCGAGGCAGTGGCAACCATATATAGTCCAGGAGCAGCAGCAGCATCAGAAACACAGGTTGTAGGAGCAGAAGCACAAGTAGCATCCGCGGGAGCCACTCCTCTTGCTGCAGAGAGCTGTGGCTTGTCCACAGCAACGGAAGGACAAGCACTTCTGCTCTTTCCAGCGACAGACACGGAAACAATAGTTGAAGGAGGCAGCAGCAGCGGCCAGATTCAGCAGCAACAGCAGAAACGGATTTTGCAACCGCCACAGCAACAACAAAAACCTGTAATATCATGGCAAGAGCAGGAATTTGCTGTGACGCGCCAACAGGAGCCGCTCCTGCAACAGCAGCAGCACATCCAGCAACAGCTAGTAAAGCTTCTGCAACAGACACTGCAGCAACAGCAGCAGCAACAGCAGACAGTTGTGGTGCAAAGCAGCACCCCGCAGCAGCAGCGCCAGCAGCAGCAGCAAGTAGACAAGGAACAGCAAACAGATCGACTCGAAGGCCTCTCTCGTTTGCCTTCGCTGTTGGAGCAGAGTAGGGTGCTGCAACAGTTGAAATCTGCTGCTGTTGCTGCTGCATCAGGTTTTCCTTTCCAACCAGCCGTAGAACTGCAACGGCAGCAGCAGGTGCAGCACCAACAACAGCAGCGGCACCAGCAACAGCAAGAGCAGCGATCTCAGGGAAGGCACGAATTGCAACAGCTGCAGGACCTGGTAAACCAAGCACAGCAGGAACAGGTCCGAACTCTGGCTACAGCAGCCGTACAGAGCCACAACGGCGTTTTGCAGCAGCAGCACGAGCAGCAAGTAGCCCAGGAAGCAGCCCTGGGAACGGTCCAAGGAAAAGCAGGGCAACAGCAGCAGCCGTCTAATGTATTTCAGCAGCAGGAGCAGAAGACGCAGTACATTCAGCAGCAACAGCTGCAGCACAACCAGCAGCATCAGCTCCATCAGCAACAGCAGCAAAGACTAAGCAACCAGCAGCAGCTCGTGCAGAAAGAGATAAACCAGCCATTGCAAAACATATACGAAGAAGGACAAAACATCTGCGAAGAAGGAGTAGAGCAACAGGAGCAGCAACTGCTACAGCAGCAGCTGGAGCAGCAGCTTCAGCAGCAGCTGCAGCAACAGCTAGAACAGCAGCAGCAGCAGCTTCATCAACAACAACTACAGCAACCGCAAGAGAATTCAGAGAGCGTTGAATGGCTACTACAGGAAGAAATGCGGCAGGGGTCACCGACGGCCAATCAGCAACAGCAGGATCTCCAAGAGCAGCAGCAGCAACAGGTTCCTTCAAGACCACAGAATCGTCACCACAGCCCCTCAGCCCACAGAACAAAACGCATGCGTGTGATTGAGACACAACAGCAACAGCAGCAACAACAACAGCAACAGCAGGACAGGCAGAAAAGGCGGCAGAAGCGAAGCATGAGCAACAGCAGTAGCAGAGCAGCTAGTACCCGCTCTACGCAGGAACAGGAGTCAAGAAGTACACCAACTGCCACAAACAGTGAAACCCGCACGGTCAAGGAAGGCAGGCAGCAGAGAGGGTCATCTCAGGGTTCCCCCAGCCCGCGTGCAAGGGGCCCTAGTCTGTTTTCTAGTCAAAGCCCAGAAAGGCAACAGCAGCATCAAAAGCAACGAGAGCAGGCGCGGCTGCAGCAGCAGCAACAAAAACAGCCGCAGCAACGGTACCAGCAACAGCAGCAGCAGCAGGGCAGCGGAAGAGTACATTCCGCCTCCTCAAGCCCTGTGGATTCCTGGGGCTCCCGCACAGTGCGTCTTATAAAAGGACGGCAAAGCTCGCCTCATTGTGGAGCTGTCCCAAAACAACAGCAAAGCCTACCAGAGACATTTAAGCCCAAGCCTCGCTCCTTGACTGCTTTTGTGCCGTACGAGGGGAGCCTGCAGCAGCAGCAAGAGCAGCTCCTACAGCAGCTGCAGCTCGAAGAAGAAGATGGTGGGCAAGTCTCAGTGACGGCTTCCCCTAGCAGTAGCAGCGCAGTCGCGGTGCAAAGACAGTACGAGAGACAACAGCAACACCAGCAGAAACAACAGCGAAATCTGCTCCTGGCAGAGCCCCAGCAGCTCAATGGAACTCCGGTAGTTGCGTACACCACATCATTTGGGCTCTTCAAGTCAGAGCAAACGACACAAGGGCAGATGAGCAGTATCAAAAAGGCAGTACAGCAGCAGGCAGCAGCATCAGGTGCTGCCTCAGCTGCACTTGCAGCACCCCCCGTTTCAGATGCTGAGCTGCCGCAAGCAGCAGACGCAGTAGCACGCTACAGTGCACAGCAAATGCAAGTGCCAGCAGCACCAGCAGCAGTAGTGACAGCTGAAGAAACAGACGAGACTGTAGCTGCTGCTTCTGCAGCAGCTGCAAGGGGACACGCTGGGAGAAGAAAAACGCCTAGAGGAGCCTCAAAACGAAGCCAAAGTAGCTGCACGTACTCTTCAAGTGGCCATAATCGTCTGGGCACCGCCTTAAGTAAGGGGCCTGAAGTGCCTTCAGCGTCCCCTAGAAACCGCTCTCGTACTGTGGAGCCCTTCCGGGCTGCATCATTATCAACCGCTGCTGCAGTGACAGCACCGCACGGCAGCAAACGCAGTGCCAGCAGAAGCAGCGGCAACAGCAGAAGCAACATCACCAAGAACAGTGGCACCACCAGTGGCGATGAATACGGTAGCAACAACGGTAAAAGTGGCAACACCTACAACAGCAGCAGTAGCAGCAGCGCCGCCGGGGCTGCTGCTTCTACTTCCATCATTTGCGCCGCCGGCGCAAATGATGGAAGTAGAAGCAGTCCCTCAGGTCTTTCTGCTGCCCCAGCGCAAAGGGCCGCGGGAAGGGTGAGGGGTAGAGCTTACACCACGGGCTCTGCTTCGGAGCTGAAACGCAGCAGCAGCAGCAGCAAGGGCAGCAGCAGTGGTGGCGGTGGCTGCCGGCAGCAGCGGCTATTTACGCAGCAGCTACCGCGTGTCCCCATGCGGCCCCTAGAGACAGCAGCAAATAGCCACCCCAGCAGCCCGAAAACGGGGGGCGGCAAAGCTGTTCGCATTGACTCCAACACCGCCCTTCTAAGAAGCAGCAGCGGCAGCAAGAGTGGCGGGAGCAGCAGCATCATTAAGCACCGCAAGCTGACTCCTTATACAGTCACGAGGGTGCCTTCGGCGCCCCTTAGAAGGCCTCAGCAGATCTCCGGGGGGCCCGTGAAAGGGCGAAGCCACAGTGTTGCTGCTGCGGCTACCCGCAGCAAGAGCTGCAGCAGCAGTGTCAGCGGCAGCAGACGCACAACGCAGCTCTCTACTGCAGGATCCTCTTCACCCACTGCTAGAAGGGCCACCAGCTCTGCAGCCAGCACCCGTGTGCTGTCCAACAATAAAAGCAAGAGCAACAGCAGCAGGCAGAGCAGCAGCTCCACCAGAGACACGTGGCAATACAAAAGGGCAGCTTCGCCAGCAGGAGGAGCCGAGAGAGAGACACGTGACTCAGCAAGAGCGGCAGCAGCAACAACAGCTGGCACAGAAAACGACTACTCCAGAGCTCGTGCAAAGACATGCGCAATGCCCTCTTTTGGAGAAAGCACGGAGCCCCACGGAATTCTTAAGTCTCAGTCGGTTGCTCTTAACTCTGCTACTGTGCTGCAGATGCTGAAGCATCTGAAAGATCAGCTGGAGCAGCAGCAATTTGAGCAGCAGCATTTAGGGCAGAAACAGCAAAAGGAGCTGGAGCAGGCAGCAGCAGCGACATCAGCAGTAACAAGAGACGTTGGAAGAGCTCGTGCAAAGACACATACAATGTCCTCTTTTAGTAAAGATAAAAATCAGCAAGGGGTTATGAAGTCTTACTCTGCTTCCGTTAACTCTGCCACTGCGCTGCAACCATGGCAGCAGCTGCAGCGGCTGCTTGAGCAGCAGCAGTTAAATCAGCGGCAGCTGGAACAGGCAGCGACAACAGAAGAGAAAGAGAGTCCAAGAGCTCGATCAAAGACATGTGCAGTACCGTCACTTAGTGAGGACAAACAGCCACAGGGGATTGTGAAGTCTTACTCTGTTGCACTCAACGCTGCTACTGCAGAGCACCAGTTGCAGCAGCTACAAAAACTGCCTCAGCAGCAGCAGCCAAAACGACAAGAACAGGAGCAGCTGAGGCAGGAAGCACACGCAGCAGCAGCAAACGAGAGAGACGGTCCGAGAGCTCGTGCAAAGACCTGTATAGCGCCTTCTTTCGAAGAAGACAGAAATCTGCAAGATACCATAAAATCCCACTCTGCCGCTATTAACCCTGTTACTGCACTGCAGCTACAGCAGCTGCTAGAGCATCTGGAGCGGCAGCAAACCGAGCAGCATCAGATAATACATGAGCAACCGGAGCAAGCGGTAGCAGCAACAGCAACAGAACTTAGGGACGGCCCAAGAGCCCGCGCAAAGACATGCGCAGTACCTTCTTATGGTAGCGGTGAAAAGCAGCAGGGGATTGTAAAGTCTCACTCTGTGGCTGCGAACTCAAGTGCTGCACTCCATCTGCTGCAGCAGCTGCAGGCGCAGCTGCAGCAGCAGCAACTGGAGCAGGAGCAGGGGCAGGAACAGCTGGAGCAGTCAGCAGCAGCTACAACCGCAGGAGTAAGAGGTGGTACAAGAACTCGTGCAAAAACCTGCGCGATGGCATTTTTGGATGGAGACAAAAAGCAGCAGGGGATTACGAAGTCGTATTCTGTTTCTGCTGGCTCTGGTGCTGCACTGCAACAGCTGCAGCAGCTGCAGCCGCTGAAGCAACAACTGGAGCAGCAGCCTGTGAAGCAGCTGCAGCACTGCGACCAGCAGCAGAACGAGCAGGACCACAGCAACCAGTCTCCGCTGCGGCACTTGCAGCTAGAGCAGCAGCGGCTTCGGGAGCAACACCAAGTACTACAGGAGCAGCAGGAGCAGCAACAGCGTCAGTTGTTGCAGCTTCAACAGCAGCAGGAACAGCAACAGCAAAGCCAACGCCTATTGCCTTTGGCGTGGGAAACTGCTTTGCTGAACGCTTCTGCAGCAGACCGACAGCCGCGCACTATGGATGCCTCTGGAGCAGCAGCAGACAGCAACAGCCGATTCAGCAGCCGTAGCAACAGCAGCAGTGAGCTGCTATTAAAGAGCTGCACAGGCCAGCAACTGTGGGACTCAGCAGAGGGTGCAGAAGAAGGAACCGGGAGGCAGTGGCAGCAGAACCTGCCAAAAGGGCAGCAGTATGGACAGCCTCCACAACAGCAGGCTGGAGAGCTGCAGCAGCACTATCTTTGCCAGCAGCAGCAGCAGAAGCGAGGTGACACTGGGGACAACTTGCTTCCGAGGCCAGCTAGTGAGACCCCAACTTACGTTCTCAACGTCGCACGTCAACAGATGCTGCACCGCAACGATAGCAGCTACGATAATAACCACAGCATGCCGAGCAGATCAATGAAGAGTCTCGCAGGTCTGCCAAAAGCTCCTCCACGCGATGCAGAGACAGCAGGAACAGCAGCAGCGGAAACTGTAGCAGCACCTTTGGCGGGAGTAGCAACTACAGCAGCAGCACCTCTACTGGTGCCTTCAGCAGGAGCGACAGACGCATCCGTCTCAAGAATTGCGGCAGCAGCAACTTCAGCAGAAGCAGTGAACAAAGCAACAGCGAACGGGGCAACACTCTCCGTAGCGTCGGCTGTGCAGCCAGCAGCAACAGCAGCAGCAACGACGGCAGCATCTACAACTTCGTCCTTCGTTGCTTACAGCCATCCCCACCATAGGACGCTTACTCCAGTTTCTGGGGCTGCGTCTAGACATGCAACGGCAGCACAGCAGCTGCAGCAGCAACAGCAAGAGCAGCACTCTGCAGATGGAGCGCTGTGGCGGCAAAACCGGGAATTCTTTTCGAGTGGTCCAATAGCATTGACTTCGGCGCAGGAAACGACAGCAGCAGCAGCAGCTGCAGCAGCAGCAGCTGCGGTGGCCGCCACAGCAACGGGCGCAGCAACAACTGCTGCATCTGCCGCAGCAGCAGCGACAGGAGCAGCAAGCGCGGCAACTGCTGCTGCGGCCAGAGCCGCAGCGGCGGCTGCAGCAGCAGCAACACCCGCTAACGATGTGACGATGGCACGGCAGCTTAGTGAAGGGGAAATACGACAAGCCACAATATATGATCTGCTTCCTCAAGCATTGTCAGGCGTATCTTTAGCTGGAACAGCAGCACCAGCGACGTGGAGTCTCCAAAAGCTCTCTCAAGGGCCCGCAATTATGCAGCAACTGAGTGATGGGGAGGTTCTAGGAAACACCTCTGGCGCGGCGCAAACCGTGCTCCTCTTTTCACCGCCTCAGCAGCCGCAGCATCAGCTGGACAACTTCTCACTTTCGGGGGCAGTTGAAGTTGCGCCGGTTACCACTGCGAGGCTTTCAATTGCTGCTTCCGCCCCTCTGACTGCCGCTGCAGGCAGCAACGGAAACAGCAGCTCTGGCCGCTCCTTCTGGGTGAACAAACAAGGAGCCCCAGCCCTTCCGCCGCCTTGTCCTGCGCGACAGCAACGACAACAGCAGCAGCAGCAAGTTAGCAAGCCCCGGTTTGTAGATGATGGCCGCGTGGCCACGGAGAAGCCTTCAACACCTTCGGAAGCCGCCAGCAGTGACGCGTCGAGCATCTTGCGGGGAGGACAGCAGCTTCTGCTGCAGGAACATCGGCTGCAGTCCATCGAGCAGCATCGGGCGCTGCAGCAGGAGATGCAGCATCTGAAGCAACAGCAGCAGCAGTCTCACCTACTGTTCCACGAAGAACAGAGACGGCAGCAGAATGGAGAACAACAGGAACTGCAACAGCAGCAGCAACGAGTGATGGGCCAGTCGCAGGAACAGCCTATGGGGGAAGCACAGCAATCGCATTATCAGCAGATCCAGCATTACGGGAAGGATGAGGGGCTTTGCGTGCAACAGCAGCAGCAGCATGACACTGGCGTTCTAGGGCTGTTCCAGCAGCACACCCCTGAGGAGCAGCAGCCGCAGCAGCATAGGACAAAACGCGAAGATCAATTCCAGCAGCAGCTGCAGAATCAAGTGGAGGGATGCCTTCCGGAGAAAATAGCAGAATTGAGCAGCAACAGTAGCAGCGGCAGCTGGGCATCAGCAGCAGCCTTGAACGTCGATAAGTCAAAGCAGTTGCTCGATGTTGTAGCTTCAAGTACGCCAGAAGAGCTCGCTAACGGGCCACTCTCAGTTACAGGCCGGCAGTTCTGCTGTTACTGCACCTGCCCGAAATGCTTAGACTGCGAATGCTACTGTCGCTGCTTGGGGCCGTGGACTACGGTTACTCAAGCAGGGGGCCCTCCGGTACAGGACTCCCAGATTAGAAGCTCTCAAAACGGGGCCCCTAACATGAGCACCACCGTGACAGAGGAGCTGCCTTTGAGGTCCATCCAGGTGACGGCTGCAAGCGAAAAACGCTGTCTGATGAATAAGGCCCATTTTTGCTGGGCAAAAGAAAAAGGTTTGCTCTCAAGCGAATGAAACGACACATGCACGCACACACTTCCATTTATGAACTGGCTTGCGGGTTGCAGCCATCCACCCGGACAGTTATGCGAATCTGGCGTTGTGTTGGTCTTCATGCTCATTAGCTGATGTTTACGTGTACGTTCGAGTGCATGTATGCATATTGACACATGATCGTGCACTTTCGTCGATTTCATTATGCACAGGTGTGAAATGCTGTTATATATTTGCTCCTAGGCCTGTGGGCATGTATCTGAGTGTCTGTGCGTGTATACACTCCTGTGCATAATGAAATCGACGAAAGTGCACGATCATGTGTCAATATGAATATGCGTGCCTGTAGGCAAACGCTTGCCTGTAAGCGTCTGTAGACGTTTGCTGGCAGATTTGTAGACAAAATCCGTTGGTGATAGTGAATAATTCAGCCAAACGTCACACACGGCAACATGTGAAGGTAGCGCATCAGCAAAAGCAGTCTGCCTGCAGCCGTGTGCACTGCACGCGTGGCCCTTCAGGTGAGCAGCTTCTGAACGAGTCGCTGGGCGCTCTTACCGTCTTCCCAGGGAGTAGCGATCCCGCGAAAGAGGCCCTCAGACTCTCATCAGGAGCCTCTGCAGCTCTGCAAGAGGCTTTTAGGGAGCCAGAGAGCCCTGTGAAGTACTCTGTGGGACCTTTAAGCAAATTGAACGATGTTGAGAAACTGTGAGCTGAGACGGAGGAGTCGTGATTCGCATTGTTTGTTTTTGCTTTGGTTTCGCTAGTTTTCTCACCCGCGCACATTTCAACCTGGGTTTACGGGCATTTGTGCATGCATATGCGTATATGTAAATAGCTAGATGGATAGGTAGATGACTACTTGTCTGCATAAGCGCATGGATGCCTTTGTACTTTCATACACGTTAATATGTATGCAAATTCATACATGCACATAAATATAGCATGCTGTGTGAAGTTTTACTCGTTTATATTAATGAATGCATATATCTAGAGGTTCTTACCAAACATGTGCATCCTGCGAACATATGTGCATACGCATGTATTTTCTAGGCATGTGCATGAATACACACATATGCGTTTATATAGTATGGAGAAGCATACAAATATATATTTATATGCATACTTACTTCTATACTCCAAAAGCACATGCATGCATCCATATGTGCTCATTCTTTTGCTTAACTTTGTGCACCCACGTGCGCACGCAATTATTCATCACATGGAGATATCCGTGCATTGCTATATCCGCTTTGCGACGATATTCAGCTTCGTAGAGAATACCCTGAAAAATTAACTAGCACATAAATAAGTTACGTAAATGTGAGGAGGGCAGAAACAGCGCGCATGTCTGTGGCTGCAAATGCATTTACAGCAGCTTAGTACTAAAGTATTTAGTATAAAAAGCTGTTGCTGCGGCTGCTTCTTCTGCTGGTTTCCCCTATACAGTCATGAGGATCTGGTGGAGGTTTTAAGGGACTTGAAGGAAGCTGGGGTTTTCTCTGAGAACCAGTTTTTGTTTCTTTCGAAACAGGCCGAAGCGAAGGATGAGTCAGTAAAATGCCCTAGACATTGCAGCAAAAGCAGCAGCAGCAGCATTACTGCTGCTGCTGTTTTTGTGACTGTTGCTGTGGTTGCTGCTGTGGCTTCTGCTGTGATATCTGGTCCCTGAGCAGCTTGACTCTCTTGCTGCTGCCTGTACTGTCCCCGCCGCTGCTGCTGTTGCTTTTGGTGTTGTTGCTGCTGCATCTCGGCGCAACACTGGTGCAGGCAGTTGCTCTGCCGTACCCGTACACGCATCACAAACGCTGCTGTCGTTTTTGCTGCTGCTGCTGCTTTAGGAGAGTAATGCATATATTCTTGAAGTACTTTAAAGCTGGCAACGGCGACGAGTTCATCAAGTCCCTCAGCGACCTAGCGCCTGAACTGTCAAACCCATACCCTGAACCCTTGAGCACAGGCTTCAACCCATGAACTACTTAGCCAAACCCTCAGGCCTAAGGTCTCAATCCTTCCAGAGCCTAGTTGGCACTCCAGTGTCATTGAAAGACGCTTAGGAGACGCCTTAGCTTCAAGAGTCCCGCTTAGGATGCCCGTGCTGGCGCTTCCTGCAAGGATTCAGGAAAGGAGACCCCCATACGGCCACTCACTAAAGCCTTTCATTGATTTCCTTTTTTCGGAAAGCCTCTTCTGTTTTATTTTGCATTATGAAACTTGAAGCTTGCATGCAACTAGAATTCTAGGTGCCTTGGTCCATCACAAGAATGGCAGGGGGCGTTAGAAGGGCCCCTGCCACTTATATCTGAATGTTTTGGGTCAGCTGTCCCTGGAAGACTCTGTTAACGAGACCTGGCGGCCTGCGGAACTCATCGAAGACCAGCTGAGGCCCAGAGGAACTCATACAGGGCCTTCACCACCCCAGTACAGTTGCTCTAGCGCTTGAACGGTTACTAGTAACAAGCTGTCCGTGCTACACAGCGCAGGGTCTCAGTGGCCTAACTGGAAATTTACGGGGTTTGAAACCTAAGCGTAGAAAATGTACATTATCAAGACCTGTCCTCGGGTAGCTGTATCTAGCTAGCGCTCGTTACGCGTTGCCCTTTTATCCGAAGCTTCCACAAATAGACACACCGTTTGTCTGTACCCAGAACCCGCTTGCATGCCCCAAATTCAGTAGTAGCAAAAGAAGTTGCATACACATTTACATGCGCGTATAAATGTACATTGTTGCTCGTGCGCAATGCAAATAAGTAAATAGCTGAAGATTCAAATGTACGCTGTATCCATACATGCAGCATGCGCATAAGATGGAAGCTCCTTATGCCACATATTAGAGCAAGTGCTCCGGGTAAATCTTATCAGATGTGTTAGGCAACCTGTGGTGCCATCCCTTATATTACGACAAAGCCACTTGAAATCGTGCTACTTATGTACTGTGGGCACACGCATTCGTATGCGCAGATTCGCCTGTTCGTGCTTGTGCCTGCCTGTGATTCTGTGGACTTCTTCATACCTGTGTGCTTTTATCTTATCTTTTGCACTGCCTGGCTCGCTAATCTGTTGCTGCGGTCCGAACCATGGCTTTGAAGAGGAATAAACACGCATGCTACAGTGACTCGCAGCACTGAAGCCACAGCGGAAGAGCCCTTAGAAAGAGCGAAAGGCCCTTAGATACCCTTGTAGTCCCCTGGTTGTCTTTAGTGGCTCGTAGTCCACGTCATTTCTCTAATTCTCTCACACTCACCCCCACCGAGGTCGGCACCACCAGAGGCAAAGCAACGTTTTCAGGAAGCTCCAAGCTATCTTTGGGGATCTCATAAGCACACCCAAGAAGCTTTTAAGCAGAAAAGAGTCTCGCTAACCTTAGGTAAACCCACATATCTGGCCTGTATGGACCGGCGACCCTTCGCGTGTTGCAGTGGGCCATACCACGTGCTGCGCGCTCGTGCTATGTGTTGCTGCTATTGCTACTCCACTATTCACAGAGTCTTTGATGCAGGTTCCGGGCTATTGAAGTGTAGGGTTTCCCAATTAGTGCTCAGTTGGGGTTTGGAGGCCTAGAAACTAGTGTGATACGACCTCTCCACGGACTGCGCTGCGAGCAGCTGCGTTTAACAAAATCGAGATTTTGAAATCAGGACACATGGTTGATTGCTACTGCTGCAGGTGCCGATGCTGGTATTTCTGTTGCTGCTCGGCCTGCATGTCTTCTTGTGACCTTTTTGCAGCAGGAGCCCTGCGCAGCCGTTCTGAGCGCAAGACTGGGAATACTCAGCTAAAATACTGCATAGGGTCTTAAATGTACACACATCTGGGTAAAAGTTGCTGCTGTTGCAGCCACTGCAGCTGCTGCTGCCTCTCACATGTACAACAGCGTAGCGGCATGAGGGGCCCCTCGTTTGGAGGGTTGGTCGTTGCCCGTATGCGTCTTTCGCCCACCTCCTCATATTTCTTTTTAAAAACATGTTTGGTATTTAGCAACCTTAACATCGGCTTGTTTCATCGCTGTGAGGTCAATTAGCAACAGCAGTACACGCAGCAGGGGCAGAGGAGGCCTGTTACCTCTACCACACGGTCTTATCAGTCCCAGTCTCGCCCATACTCTTCTCCCTTTTTCCGTTTCTAGTTTAGTTTTTGCTCTTCCTTCATTTTTTAGCTTGGGAAGCTCTTGTTTTCCCCCACAGGCCTCTGTGCTACTGCTGTGGATCAGTGGGCAACCGGAGTCGTGAGCAGCCCTTGCCTTGCAGGGGGGCCACGTGGCGCTTTCCGCACTGCTGCACGCAGCGCAGCAGCAAAATAAGCAGCAGTAGAAAGCGAGGCAATGAGCGGGGAGTGGACTACTAGTGGGGCCTCCTCAGCTCCCCAGGGACCCCTCACATGCCCCTCATCACTCCCCCTAGCGCATTCTAAGGATCCCCGCCAAACGTCTCAGGGGCCCGGCTCCGAGGTTTTATGGCGCTTTGATCAGGATGGAATTGCTATTGGTTCCTCTCAGGGGGCCCCCCGAGACCCAAGCGTCGATGCAGGGCTCACGGGAGCCCCCAACGAGGCCCTCTGGCGGCCCCGTCCTGAGGCTGCGCCCTCTTGGCACCCCCAGAAGGAGCATTTTGGAGCCGGGGCTTCCAAGGCCCCAAGCACGGTCAGCAGCTTTGTTTGGAGCGGAGAAGGAGGGCCCTGCGAGTCAACCGCGCCCTCCGAGGGCGTTTGGCAGGGGCCCGGCTCTCCTGTGCTGACAGGGTCTCCCTTTTCTGTGTCTGACTGCGTGCCGGCTGCGACTCCCGAAGGCGTCTGGGCGCCTGCTGGTGTTGAAGTGCATCACTTATCGCCTGCATCATCTTTCGAGCCGCCAGAGAAGGAGCTTGAGGCAGAGAAAGCGCTGATGCTGCCGTCCCCTGCTGCTGCTGCTGCTGCTGCCCCTACGACTTGCAGCAGCAGCAGCAGCGGTGTCTCTCCTCTCGTCCAGTTTCTACGAGCTTCAAAGACCCTAAAGATGTCTCTGACGCAAACCATGGAGATGCAGCAGCAAACACTGCAGCTGCTGCTGTTGCACCCACAGTTGGCGCCTCCAGATTTAGATGCCCCTTGCTGCTGGTGCTCTACAGCAGCAGCAGACGCGCAGCAGCAACCGCAGTACAGCAGCTGCGTCGTACTTCTGCAGATCGAGATGCTCCAGCAACTGCTGCAGCAGTGCAGCTCGAGGCTGCAGCAGCAGCAGGAAGACCTCCTGGAGGCGGAGGGTCAGTTGCAGGAGCAGCAGCAGCAACAGCAGCAGCAGGACCGGTTGACATGCTTGCTGCCACACTGGCAGCAACAACAGCAGCAGCAGCAGCTAGCTGCAGCAGCAGCAGAGCTCCGTATCCGCCGTAGCGTCCTTAAGCACCAGTGCTCAGACTTCCAGCAAGCGCTGCTGCTCCAGCAGCAACTGCAGCACGAAGCAAACGCCAGATGGTTATTGGAGGCCGCGGACCACATTAGAAGCTGTGAGTTCTGATGCCGCTGCCTCCTCCCCCTGATTGTGTAGCTGCCGCCACTGCTGCTACTGATGCGGCTGGTGACCTCAGTGGCTTCTGCTCCCATTAATGCTGCTTCTTTTTGTCTTAGTTGTGTTCTTGCTGCTGTTTGCTTCGGAGCTGCCGTAAGGTCTGCTGCAGCTGGTGCGACTTAATCTTCAGATAAATGGGCAGAGGACGAGTAGACCCTCCTTGGTAGTCGTGCCTCTGTGTACACTCACACACGCTTGTACTAGTGCAGACTCGCCGATTTGCTCAGATGAACATACTTATATATACTTGTGCGAGCATATGTCTTTATAAACGTATATGAATACAAGCCTGCAGCTTAAGAGTACAAATCGCATTCGTCGTTCTTGCCTTTGCAGCTTTTGCTGATGCCCCCAATGCGGATTTGGCGAATATTTTGCGGCCCGGTTCAAGCCTGAACCCGCAGATCACACAGGTAAGCAGCAACAGCAGCAGCAGCGGCACAAACTGGGAACTTCTGCCACAGCAACAAGTGCAACCCTACAGCAGCATTTTTCTTCCCCGCCGGTTGCAGTGGTAAACGTATCTTGCCATCATGCGCCACAGCAACAGCAACAAAAGCAGCACCGTGCAGCAACAACTGCAACTACAGCAACAGTACCAATCTGGTGTGCGTGTTCTGCTGCTGTGCGGCTGCTGTGCTGTGCGTCCACAGGGTCTTGTGGGGAATCAGCTATCAGAGAAACGCAGCAAACTGCTGCAGCTCGAGGAGAGTAAGCGGCAGCACCAGCAACGGCACCAGCGGCAGCTGCTGGAGCCATTAAAGTTCTTGTCGTCGGCACCCCCTGCCGATACAATAGCTGTTGCTCCATGCTGGTCTTGCTACTTCTGCCGCGGCTTCAGCAGCTCCTCCTCGGTTTGGTGCTGCTGCTGCTAGATACCTGGCGTCCCGGCTGATGCTGCGTGTGTGCAGAACTCAAGGAACTGCAGCAGCTCGCGACAATGTTGCAGCAGCAGCAGCAAAAGCGACAGCAGCAGCAGCAGCAGCTAGCTGGCGTGACGACACAAACGAAGCAGCTTACAGCTGCTGCTTGCACTGATCTGCTGCTAGCCCACAAATACCGCAAACAGTCACTCAAGGTAGAGTGCCGCTACGAATGCTGCTGCTACTATCTGCTGCTGCTGTTCGCCGCAGTCGTTTGCTGTTGTTTGCAGTAGCTGTTTCTTGCTGCTGTGCTGTGATTGCTGAAAATGGCATTTGCTTCCGTCACTCTGTGGCTGGAAGCTGTGGTGATGCAGCGGCCGCAGCACAAGCAACAGCACCAGCAACAGTGACAGCTGCTGTACAGGGGAGTGCCATCGGTGCAGTGTTGGGGGATCCTCATTTCGAGTTGCTTGTATGCGTTTGCTGGTGCGCTGCTGCCGCTTCTGTTGCAGCAATCTCTATGGCTTGCAGCTGCGGTGGTGCTGCTGTTTCTCATTTTCGTCCTTCCG